CCTGTACTTGTATAATCTTGAAGCTGTAATTACAACACTAGACATACCATTTGGCACTCATTCAACCATACGCAGCATCTGTTGTTGTATATTGTATAATATATCTGATTTGAACCTTTAATCATCAAAACTATTTCACAGCATCGGCATTAGTGCCATCTGAGCGAAGAACTTGGCAACATCCTTTATGCACGTCTCGGTGTCATTGTCCTACGCCGGGGACCAGGGCAAATTTTTAAAGCTGAAATTTGGCTCAGCCTTTCCGGCCCAGCCTAGCGAGTCCAGCTCCCAGAGTCCAGTTCAGCCATGGCGGTGGGCGCCATTTGGAATTAAGAGAAGATAGAAGCCCCTTCTCCAAACACCTGGTGGACATATCGTAGACATCTGTTGGGCAGACAGAAGTATCATGTGACACTCAACTAGAAAACAGTGGTTATTCAAGTATTGTCGTCTTTTTTTAGCTCTTAGATATAGTAAAGAGTCAGAATATCAATAATCTCACGGCTTTATGTTTTTTTTTTTTTTTCGTTAGGCTTCGCCTTCCTACACAGCCATATGACTGTTGATCTGCTGGCAAGTTCTGTAACAATCGTAATCGCCTGGTGTGTTAAGCGTCCAAATACAGCTTGCCATTCCTCGCCATTCCTCCCTCAATGATCACAGAAAAGGCTATCCAATGTGCCTTGGGCTTCATAATTCTACTCTATCGTCTTAGCTTATGCTTACACCGGGATTCAGCGCACCAGCAGTCATTTAATGATGAGGGAAGAAGCCTGGGGCTTCGACCATACATACACACTACATACGCTCGCATGATACGTCCCCTATCCAGTTTGTGAAATTCCATCAGTTAATCAGGCGGGTGCCGTCCTTTCGACTTCTCCTTCGGTGAAGTAGAAGCAGCTGTTCATATATATCTATCTACCTATCTTTGGTCTTCGCATAGTAAGCTTTTGACGCAGGGATAGCACTTCGTGTTCATTCTTCTTGAACTTGTTCATCTCTGGAGCCTGTGCAGTCGCATAGAAGACATTGCCGTACTAATGTTCATCAAGAAAGTGTCCAGGATTGTACGGACAATTCCAAGGGTCGTGGTATTATTGGCCGTGACGTTGGTAATAGCGTGTTCACAGTGGCTGTATTACTCGATTCCTCCACAACTGGGTGAGGATCAGGGATCCGCTGACCAACCACTGAACCCACACTATCACAGTCTCTATTTCAAATCAGACAACGGGTTCCAAGTCATTGCTGAGCAGGAGGGCAAACATACCTCCCTTGAAGGTGATATCCATACTATTCTGGATTACACTGAGAAAGAGTACTATCTGAATGATGAGTATCCAGATTTCACGGACAAGGAACGTTTAGATGCTGAGCTGAATAGACAGTCGACATTCAAGGAGTTTGTCTCTGAGCTGCTAGAGAACATTCTCAGCTCAAAACCCACGGTTGGACCCATAAACAACGTTAGGCACTACAACGAGTCCAACATATACAAAAAAACAGGCGGTCACAAGATCCCAACAATGTCAGGAAAACTACGTGAGAATAATGGTGCTGAACCAATACGAAGTAAAGAATACCTACGAAGCTATATGCAGCCTAATGAAGAGGATATATCTGAACTCAAGAAGTCACATCAGATGATAGTGGATCTTCTTCCTGACAAGTTCCCTGATGAATTTGA